AAAACTCACCTAGAACCCCACCCGAAGCTCTCTGGAGAAATAAAAAGATTCTTTCACGTGAAACTTCTGTGAAGATGTTGCCGTGACTTGTCATTGTTGGCTCAGCCCAGTTAAGGCTGACCCCTCTCTGTGAGCTTGGAGGGCCCTGAAGTGTGATCTCCACAAGGCAGGGAGACCTAGAGCTGCTGGTAATTTATTCATGCAAGATCCTGGTCCAGAGGGCAGCTGAAATTCACAGCAAGCTGTAATGAATTCGTTACCCTGTATAAACTATAGATTCTACATTCAGCTCTGTTTTTTACAGCAGACACACAAATTCACTTCTGCAGGAGAAAAACATTCTATTCCCCATGGCAGAATCTGTGCAATGATACAAATTGGGTTTGGAGCAGGAACTCCAGAAGAAAGAAGTCTCAGTGGGAATTCTAAAAGGAAATGGCAGATGGGTGACACCAACTTCAAAACACCTTTTGTGTGTTTCCCTCACTGTTTCCTTTCAGCATTACAGAATAGCAACCTTACCACACCAGTACACAGGAGTGACCAGATTTCTCCAAATGGCTAAGCCCACAGAAATGTTCCCTACCTCATATTCCTGAACTCTCTGAAACCTACCACTACAGTCAAAAGGCAAAAATCCTCAGCTAAACTGCTACTATCCCCTGGCATTCCAGACCAGCCACAAGTTTGTATTCAGTGTGTGCTTTCCACAAAAGTTCAACAAATTTTGTAGTGTACTGGCAGTGCAAGTAACAGGCTATTTCTTCCTAGTCAGTCAGAGGATTAGCTTTGAATTACTTTTTTTGCACAAAAACATGTGGTTATAAGAGCTGTTGAATAAGTAAATTAAAAGACAAGGTTAAGTGAACTAGACAACAGAATTTGAAATAACTAAAATTCATAGTATTGTATACTGCTGGTCTTGCTTAGGGTTTGCTGAACACTAATTTCAAGAATAGCTTCTCCCTTTCCCTTAGCCTGTGTCATTAGTCATGTTCCAAGGCAACAGGTTTCCATGACAGCAAACATTAACTCTCCTGCAGCACAGCCTGTTATTTCTGCTACAAACACAAAGCTTTCACTCATACACTGCAACCCAGCCCAGCTACCCTCATGAAAAAAGATCCCTGAAATATGCTCACAGACATTTAAATCAACAGCTCTATTTCCTTTGTACTGTGATCCTGCCAAGGAACATGCACACTACTGAATTGAGCAGGAATGCTGTCAGCTCCCCCAGAAGGACACTGCTACCCGGTCTGAGCTCAGAGCTCCACCAGCCCTCTACACCACAAATCCAGTGATGCAGGAGGATGATGCAGACTCCACTCTCATAAAGACACTGGATAAAGGTAATGAAAACCCCACCATACAGATCAGCTGCAGAACTGAGACCTTTGGGTTTAGTCATCTCAGGCAGGGTGAGAGCAACTCCCCCTCACAGGAGCTGTGCAGACAGAAATAAATTCCTTCACACGCACTTGCAGAGAACAGAGCGTCAGGGACAGGCAGGGATGGGAGCTCTCTCTCTTCCTCTCTCTCTGGGACCTGCCTTGCTATTTTGAGGGGACTGTGGACTGAACATCTCTATCTTTGAAAGCCTCACTCACATTTACACTCTGATCTTCCCTTATAAGCCAGCCCCACCCAACACCTCATGTATTGGTTCTACATGCTCCATTACCAATGCAGCACTTACTCCTCCTAAGCAGAGGATAAAAAAATATGTTTTCTATTTAAAGAGCTGTGAAATAAAGGGAAAAAATAGTAATTCACTCTTTTGTAAGTACACTATTCTGTCCAAGGAAAATTCAGATGCAGACTCACACCTGAACTTTACCTTCAGTTTCCCACTGGGGTTTCTGAAAGCACAGGTGGGTTGCAGGAGCAGCTGGGGAAGGTATTGAAGACATTCAGTGACTCTTGGTTAAACAATTGATAGGAGGCAACCTAAATGTCAGTTTTCTTAAATTATTTTAAAGAACTGACACCTTTTAATGAACACTTAGAAATTCACAATAAAAAAAGAAACAAAAATTATAAAAATTCATTAATCCTGTGTGATCCTGCTGCTCTTGCCTCTCACTCATCATGATTTGTCACATCTCTTTTACTTTGGACACTATTACATTTATTTTTATCTCAGTCTAATGTTTGTCTCTTCTGCCATGTTATGTTCAGAGGTGTCTCAACTTATGTGCTGCAAATAGTTGCATGACAGAGAAGCAGCTCTGTCCCAGCCACTGAGCAGCAAGATCACACTAAGAGTCCTCCAGGCAGGGATGCTCACATGAAAATCAAGCAGTTTTTTGTTACATGCAGCTGGTGAGAGCAAGGAAGGGAATCTAGGCTAGCAGCATAACTATGATTAATGGTTATTTTAGTAAATGCAATTTTGCAAACTAGGACATGTGCTGGAAGCTTGTCAGCAAGGTGAGAGTTTAGGTAATGGCAAAAGATTATCAGATGGGGAATATTTAGGAGATGGCTAATAGTTTTTTGGATAATAATCTTGTAAAATTTCTCAGAAAACTTGACATTGAGCATTGCCTAGCATAGTCAGGCAAGCTGGAAAGAGAAACATCAACAGCAAATATAAATGGCAATGCTTCAGAGATTAGTGAATATGTACACCAAGATACATGCACCTCCTGCTCCAAGAAAAATCATGGAACTAAGACATCAGGAGACACAAATCCTCTGAAGAGCTAGGCACTGCAGTGCACCAATCTGTAGGGTTCAGTTATGGCAATGAAGTTCACAAAGATGGGAACAGATGCAGTCTGACAGCAACCTAAAGGTGACTCGACAACAACTGGGCTTCATTTGGGCTTCTTCCCTTTGGAGAAAGACCTGAGTTGAACTGAATTCCATTACAATGTTACTTACCTGAGTGATTCCTTTCTCACTGAAGGTTGTTAGAAGTTTAAATACAAGTTTTATGTTTCAAACCCACCTGTTTTAAGTATGCAGGCAAAAGTCACATCAGTTAAGGCTCACCTCTTGCTTTGTGGAGCTCTCCTACACATAAAAGCAGCAGGAGCCTGTAGATGTTTCTTGAAGCATGAACATAATTCAGCAGTTCTTTTAGAGTACTTAACATGTTTTCCATTCATCTTTGTTGCACAAAGGCAGGTGGCACAACAGGCACACCATATTCCCAGGAATTTTTGCATTAGGGTAAGGAAACCAGACTAACTCCTTCGCACTTACCAGACTAAATCCTTCACACTTACCAGACTAAATCCTTCACACTTCTCAAGCTGACACTGGATACACCAGTTTGGCAATGCTATTTACTTCAGATGCTACACTGATATGGCTGGTATAAGTACCTCTACCCAGTCCATTATTTTCTTCCATCAGGAATGCTCTTCATCTTGAAATGATGTAGCAAGAAGCCTTCTAGCTCTCCTTAAAATGACTGAAAAGAAGGCTTTTGTACCAAGAAATCTTTTTGGTACTCCTATTTTGATCTAATTCAGAATTCAACCAACATGACAGCTGTTAAGAGTCAGAGAATCACAGCACGGCTCCAAAAGGGAGTAAAATCAAACTACTGATGATTTCAGTTAGTAGAAGTCACTTATAAAGGCAAAGAGCAGAAGGAGCCTCTTTGCACATTCTGAAGTGATTTCTTAATCAATTAAACACTGTACTTTAAAAAACTTAATTTCAACCCTGAGAAAATAATATACTAACATGATTTCATTAATTTACTATTAAATTGGCTGTCTTCAGAGCTATTAAAGGCCCTTCAGAAATTTTCACTGTCTTTTCCAGGCTGAAAGTATGCTTTTGACATCAAGACAGAGAAAACAGATGGATAAAATAATTATAAAAAAGAGCAACATGATGCTACAAACCAGTTTGTCACAGTTTTACTAACAGACTGGAAAGCACAGGCAGAATAGTGGGCTGACAATCAGCAAAGTTGTGTTGTGTGAAAGTGCCCCCACTTTCCAAAAAACCCCAGTGTCCCTTCTGTAGGAATATGCAAACTGATGAGGAAGGAGGGAGCAATACAAAGTCAGAATAAGCATTCTTATTCTGGGCATTTAAAGATTATAAAGGGCATATAAAGATTAGAAAGACCTCTGAAAGAAAATATTGATTGTACATCCCAGAAACCAAGGGGAATGTTGAAGGGAAAGGCAACAATTCTTACATCATTCTGGCATATTTGTCTGATAACTTCCCTAATTTTTGTGTAGAGTAATTTCATAATTGGACAGAAACAAAACATCTAGCTGAGAGTTATGGGCTCAGATACACAGAATTTCTCTGAGCTTTGGCTTCTGTTAAAGGACAATCTCCCTAAGGGAGCCAGTTCAATCAGTTTATCAGAGTCTGAACTGCACTGACAGGCGAGTTAGCACACCTGGCTCCACACACACTCTGCTGCAATGGTTTGTAACACACAGCCCAGCTGACTCCTCTCTGTTATCCTTTTCACAGCTTGCAGAGTTATAAAAAGCTGATTAAATTGCTCAACCTTCAAAAACCAGGGCATCGTCAACTACTAGAAAGCTGATCATCTCAATAGGTGAGTGAATTTGAGACTGGAAAACTCTACTGGGAAATACAGGTTTGGGATATCAAAAGATACACAATATTATCTTCCAAAGGCTGATTTTTTTCTCTTCAGATTTTCTCCTGCACTCATGCTGCACAATTTCAAAGTCTGGAGCCTTTGGAGAGGATCTAGGAAGGGGAGAGGAAAATGAGAGGAAAGACAGAAACAGGCCATCTACATGCAGCAGCAAAAAGTGGATTCATTAAACTTAGGAGAAGCCTACCTTCAAACAGTCTTCCAAATTAAAAGGAGGCATGGAGTGCACTCTAGGAGCAGTTGGAGCAGTCTTATTAGCAGACTAGAGCAGAAAAGAGAAGGAAGACAGTGAAAGAAAGGAGCTGCCCCAAAGAGATGCATATACTTCAACAATTAACCTTGTCACAACAAGTTTGTGAAATCAGGGCCCACAACAATTTGGCTTTTAGAAAAAAATTATTATTACAGCAGAATAACCATTACATTCAAAATAATGGACATTTGTACAAAAGTAGAGTCATACAGTCAGCAGTGAACAAAACTAGTAAAAATACCTCTTCAAAGTATTGTCAGAGGAGCATCTTGTGATGACAAAACCCATAGCTAAAAGATGTGGTACAAAACAAGAGTTGAGTCCAGCAACGAGAAGAGAAACTAGACTGGGGCAATAACAACTCTGAGAAACTCATGTACAGAGTAATGCAAAGCACAGAATTGTTAAACCCTTTGCTACATTAGCTGACCTTCATCTTCACCATTATACAAACAAACCCCTTCAGTTATTGGTTTTTGGTATTTCTCTGAGGATCTGGCACATTGGGAAGAATTTCAGGAAGTGCACTTCAGAGGTGCATACAGTAGTTTTCTGTCCAGGTAGTTTAACATTAAAATGCAGGCTTGTTCATGTATTCTTCTACTGTCTAGAAAACAAAATAAAAACAAAAAAAACCTGATTCATTATGTCATGGTATAGTAATATTCATAGAAATCCTTTCGTCCTCTTTGACGACTGCTATAGTTTTGCAGGAAATTATATAAAATATATAAAATTTATTAAAGTGCAGAAATAATTCTGCTTTAACATGTAACAGAGTGGTGTAAAATGTGCCATTTAAATCATGCCATAGCACAGCTGTGGCTAAACTCATCATGCCAGTGGCCTTTGCACACAATGGCCAAGTTCCATGTGCACAGGGCAGAGCAGGTGAAACCTGCTCAACTCCCACAGCACAGCCCAAGCCAGTTCTACCACTGTGCTGCTCCCTTCAGGATTGTGATGGATCCTTCACTACCAAGGGAAAAAATGGATGAAACCCATCACATTCAACTGGTTTTGCCATTTCTGCCTCAATGTTACTCATTACATTCCAAGTTACAATAGAATTCCTGCAGGGCTCTGAATAAGGGTTACATATCTGTGCCCTGCAGAAAAACTACACAGGTGCTTCTGAATGAAAGCAGAGTTTGCCAGCAAATACTCTTTCCAATTTTAAATGTTAATAGTAGGTCACGTTTCCAGTGCTATTAGTGAAATAGAAGAGATTTTCTGTATTTATATATACATATGCATACATAAAATACAACCTTAGATTATGTTCTTGTATTAAAGAAGTATCTTGGATACATCTCAAACTATTTCTTAATAAACTCTAGCAGTTAAGCTGCAAGAGAGCAACAGCTTTTTATGAAGACCCTGCAGATGATACCAAAAGGGTTGAATTGAAAGCTTATGTAACTGCACTGCTGTACCTGTTGAAACTGAATGCAAGACACTCTTGGATAATTAGGCACCAGAAGTGCTTAGCTGTGTTTTCATCTCCTGTCAAACAAGGAAGATTAAGAAGATGAGGTGTTTGCCTTTTGTCCTCCTCTGCCTTACCTCCTGCAACATGTCAGAATCTTCTATGGCTTTCACTGCAGTCTTCTTTGAAGTCTCTTGTACTTCTCCACCAATTATAAACTCATCAAGAATAAAATAAGCTTTTTCAAAATTGAAGATAATATCCAGCTCGCACACCTGCCAGAACAAGAGGCCACAACTAGATTTAAACCATTTTTACAGTATCATAAGCACTACTAGGCCAAAAGCTCTTGTGATGATCAAATATCCTCAGCATAAGCAGCCCTGTGCAGGTGGCAGGGTGAAGAAACAAACTGCATGTTGTGTAATATTGAAGCTTCTACACATCTTCTCTCCACATATACAGACTTACAGCAGAGTATTCCACTTATTATTAACTTCATGCTGGCTGTCAGAGATCCAAGCTGACTTCCTGCCCCACTAACCCTGCTACAGGTCCTACACAGCCCTTGTAGTATGGGTTACCTGGGTTCACAGAGCAAGAAAATTCCCTGCCCAGCAGGAGTCACCAACTGCTTTTTAGTTTTGAGGCAGTACAGACACGAGTCAAGGCACACTGATTTAACTAAATATGAATGAAGGTAGGCAGGATCATTTCAAAAATATTCAGAGAAAAGATGGGTCTCTTGTATTCTCTAAAGACTTACAGAAAGACTTATTTGGACCTTCTCTAAGTCTTTAAAAAATATTATTTTATCTTTTGCCTCTATGTCCTTGATTGTTACAAAGTATTATGAGACGAACAAAATCGGTATATCTGAAGATGTCAGGAGCAAGAATTAAACCAAACAAATCAAACAAAACTAAAACAAACAAAACAAATCAAAACCAAACCTGTTTTGAGTCTTTTTAATAATTTTTCCTGAAGTTTTCCCTTCAAATTCTATACCAAAACAGACATACAAAGCATCAAGATTGATTCTGGGTGAGTGGGAAAAGGCTGAGAAAACAATCTTATGATCATTTCAGCACTGTTTTAAAAAGTGCTCTAATAATTATTTTCATTCTGGATTGAGAGTTCCTGCAGGGCAAGTGCAGCAGATGGAACACAAAGCAAATCAGCTCCACATAATTTTGTTTATCAGACAGACAGGAATGAGTTCATGGGAGAAAGTGAAACCTACATTTCCAAAGTATCTGTCCAGGAGCTCCACGTATCGATGAACGACCTCTAGTGTCAGCAGCTCGTTGTCCTGGTCTTCTATTGCACAGCAGAAATACAAACTAGCATACCTGGGGAAACACAGCAAACACATGGCAGTGAACAGCTGGGACCTCAGTGCTCTGCTCCTCTCTTACAGGTGATTCACCTGATAGTTAATTCTTATCTAGTCTCTAAAGTAAATATTTTCTGTCACTCTTATAGTGTCCCAGAGGACACTTTCAAAGATCAAATTATTTCAACAAATTATTATTTTAGTTAGAAGAATCAACTCCACTCTTGGTAAAGTGGGACACCTGTAACACTGAAACAGGCAATAAATCAGTAGTAAGTAGTTCCTTCAGGTCTCCTCCTCCTGCTGCAATAGCACTGCAGTAAGTGGGGTTAATTAGACTGTAGGAGAAGCCACCCCTTCTAATTAAAAAATAAAAATAAGGCAAAGGTGAAAGAAGTTACATCTCAGCATTTGTCATCTGCTGGCTGTCAAATGACAGTGTTTTACAGAGGGCCAGAATGCATGAAGCTGCTTAGACCAAAGAAGCTCTGTAACTAACTTGCACCAAAACTATGTTTAAACCAACCTAAGATCTATTCAGCTTGCTGATACTGTGGCTGGAAGCCAACTTGTCACAGCTTCTGGTCAGAGGTTTATATGCTTCCCATTACAGCAGGGAACTCAGTTTATTGGGAGATGATTAATTTACTCAGTGTACTACACATTAAGGCTACATTTGTTTGCTGCAACTGTAGGAGGACAAACAGGCAGTTAACATTGGGCATTGTGTAACTGGGGATCAGTGATTTCTTTGGAAAAGGAAATGAGAATTAACACTTTCCAGAGCAATAAATATTTCAAAACCAAATTTGACAGAATTGTGGAAGTGCCTTGGAACAATTTCTCCAATCTCCACGGATAATAAAATCCAGCACACACATCTCAGCCAGGCTACCCTGTGGAATTTGAAGGGGCAGTGAGGTCTAATGCCTTCTAAACACCAATACCCATTACATTACTCGTGTTTTTCTCATTTGACAGACTGTACAAGTATTTTGCACCCCACAATTACCCTGCTGGTTTGTCCAGGGACACTGCCTTGTTATACCCAGATTGCCAGTGGCAGGCTCCTAACTCAGCCCAGCTCTACAAGCTTTGTTTGCTGCTTTTCCTTAGGTGAGCCTTTGTTTTTCCTCTTCTAGCATGTGTTATTCAAATGAACAGTGATTATACGTTCTTACAAAATTACTCACACCTTTTGTAAACAAGCTTGAGGTCTTTCCAGTCAACAAAACTACTTGTTTTTTGATTGCGAGACAAAATAATCTGAATAATTTCTCGAATGATCTTTTTCTTCTCTTTATCAGGTAGCGTCGTGTACCATTTCTGAAGCCTTAACTTCCCCTGCCGACTGAACAGCAGTATAAAGTGTATCTAGAGTAAACAAAGCAACATGGTTAACACCAGGGCCGAGGCCAGGGAAGAGCATTCCTCTGCCTGGCACCAGAAATCCGAGTCCTGGCCACACACCTCCAACCCTGGCACGATGGCTGGACACGGTGTCAGTGAGGCCTGGGGGAGGCTCAGCATGGGAAAGATCTCTCCTCTCTCCTGTTTCTTTCCCAGGCAGCTCTCCCCTCCCTGTGGCACATCTTCCCTAGGTAAACCCTTCACATCCTCTCCTACCCATCCTCCTTACCTTGTGCAAACAGCAGCTTTGCTTCCTTTTCTGCCCCTGCCCTGGGGAACAGGAGGAGCCTCACCACTTTGCAGTGGTGACAAGAGGGCACCACCCCCTCCTCCAGCAAAACAGATACCTCAGAGAAGGGAATAAAGACATCCACAACAGCAGTAGGGAAATCAGGGTCAGTGTGGCTAGAAATATGAAGACTGAGATAGTAATAATCACCAACAACTCTGATATTGCACTATTTCAGGTCACAAAACAGTAGGTTCCTAGAAGAGGCGATAAGTGGCAGAAAAAACCTACTTTAGAAAGGAAGCCTGACTGGTTTTATTGAAGAAATTGGGGTATTATGAAACTCGGGCAACTGTAACAATGAAGGACAGACCTCAGTGAGTGATACTATATTAAGTAAAGGACAGTATCTATACTGTTCAAAAATTTCCACTTTAAAGTGAGTCATAACTTTACAAGGTTTGACCTCTGATTGTTTCATGCTTAGCATAAACAGTATTACTGAAATACACAAGAGCCAGCTTTTAAATGCCAGTGGGGCTTTGAGAGAAAAGTATCAATTCACATTTTTATAAAGAGTACTATTAGCAGGTTAAAATAACTGACCACAATGTATATTAGCAGTACAGTATCCCATTCACCCAGAGCATGAAAATGGCTTTAGGAATGCAGGACATCACTTTGAGCAAAACATCCTTCTCCAATAGGACACCTGCTAAATGGGAAAAAACCCCTACAAACCCACTGGGGGGTGGGGGGAGATAGAGATGTGTTTAATGTCTATAGACATCTGAGTGCCCTGCTCTTGCCAGGCATCCTGACTGGGCTCTCACCAGTACCAATACCAGGCCCCAGGTGTCTGCAGGAAGGGCAGCTGCAGGATGTGTGTGACAGGTACACTGCCAGCTGCCCACACAGTGACTGCTGGCTTCCCCTGATCCTGGGGGGACCAGGGAGAAGCACAGGAGCCTCACTTTCCTCACTTGCTCCCAATCCTTGCAAAGCCCTGATGCAGCAGGTCTCTTACCACATCCCTGACCATTAGCCTGACCTTATCCTTCCCTAGAGGTTTTTCAATCTCCACCCTAATCCCTTCTGCTCCTTGCTTCCTGTTCCAGTATATTGCTGTACCTATACTTCACCACTACATTTCCAAATGAGGATTATAAAGTTAGTCTTCACAGTCACTGTCAAGATTACAATGCAGATTTCTGTGAAGACACAATCACTCCACACTGGCAAAGTCTGAGTAGAGAAGTCAGAGAAGTTTCTACACAAGGAAAAAAAAAAGGAAAAGCTACTGGATTTTAAACAAAGCATTCATTCATAATTCAGAACCACTCTCTAGCTATTGAGTCGCATAGTTGTTGAGTAATCTGGAGATAAGAGTTCTGACTATACTGAGAAAGACTTCAAATGTGGGATCATTTTAGGGAAAGGAGGAAGGTTTTAGTCATGTGTGTCTTTGGCTGGATATAAGGCTCTTGCCATTGTTAGTCTAATGTGCTTGATAAAATTACAAGGATTTTGTAGCTGCATTCTGTTGAGTCCTATAATATTCCCCAGACAAGCTTGCTAAATAAAAACAAGTACGCTGCTGGCAGGGCACATGGCCTGATTACAGTGAAGAGCAAAGCACCATGGTTCTGCCTTTCTCTGTTCATATTACCAGCTGGCTTTTAACATGGGAATCTTGCAGCTGCCAGGGTCACTCCTTCCCAAGTGATGTAGGGACAGCACTCACCGAAAACACACTTGGACACTGAGAGGAGCTGGCTGAATGAAAGGCTGTTCTGCTTGCTGCCCAGCACATTAACTCCAAAGCCCTTGTACAGATGAGGGTGTTTTGAAAACAGAGCATAAGTTCCACAGATAAGGGCAGCAGGTCAGCAGGAGTCCATCTATAAGCCATTGGGTAGAGGTAGCAACTCTTGGATAAACAAATTTCTATAAATATGTGAATCATCAGATAGGAGAGGATGATCAGATTTGACTGAAAATGCAGGGTATGAGTCAATGAATCTCTATCAAAAGTATGTTCAGCATAAGGCTGTGAGCTTTGTGGCATCCTTTGCCTGCAGTGCTTCAATAGGAAAAGGAAATTAAAAGATATTCTGGTTTAGGGTCAGCTGTTGGACCCAAGAGACCTTAAACTGGAATTTTTAAACCTCATGCCTCTAAAGGTTAAATACCAACAAACCAGGGAATCACTGTGAATATTACCACCACTTTCTGCCAATTAGTTACTGCAGGATGTTATGCTTCATCCATAGGAAAGTGAGCTGCTCTCCACTTAAAACTGCTTTGAGAACTCCACTGTTTCTTCTACACTTGCAGGTGATGTCTCGCCATCACTTTTATGAGCTGAGGCAATGTTCTTTGCAAGCAGAAAATATCTATTAATGATCCTAAATGCATAAATGTTCATACACAAGCTCCAAAAATCTCATTGTTTGGGTTGTGTCCCACATTGTTTCATATGCAGACTGTAACTGCATACCTCACATGGCATTTGATTATTACAGCTAGAAAATGGCACAATTCTAAATTTTATAGTCTGCAGCAAAATAATGCACCCTCAAGCCTAGGTACATATCACTGGCCAGCTAAGAATTACCGTAACTTAACAGCTTATTAAGAAGCTGCAGGTACTTAGAAGCAAAAATATCGTGCATGAGTTTTGTCCTCTCTTGGTTCCTCTTTCTTTTTCTAATTTCTGAAGCTCTTTCAACTTGGGGAACTCTGTAGGAGGTAAATAATACATTCTTAAAAGGTTAAATGGTTTTCAGCATTTTCAGTTTCAACATCCAGTGCTGCTCCATTCAGTTCAGCTTTGCTCTGCCCAGCCCCACTGTCAGGACACAACACATTCCTCACTCTCACTGCTCTGTTCATTACATCCCACTGGAAAGACTCTGATGCATCAATAAACCTGCTAATATTGAAGTACTGCACAAACACAGATCTAACAGCTCATCTGTTCCTTGCTCCTTGACTGTGAAAACATATTTGCTTTCCTCTAGTGCTGATGACAAGACAGATGTTGATTAAGAAATTTTTGGTTCGTTTTCAGCAGCCAAACTGCAAAGAGAAGTAGATTATCCTGCAATGCTTTACTCATCTTTAAAAGTTCTAATTCCAGAGGAAAACAAAGGTAAATGACTTGCTGCAAGCAGAATATCTTAGAAAGCAGAGTGCTTGGTTCCCTTTCTTACCATCCCAGGGCGTGCTGGCTGTGACTAACAATCACCGGAGCCAGGGCTGATGCCAGAGGGAATTTTTAGGTCCAAGACTGAGTGGGTTGGGATGAAGAGTACAGTTCCTAAGAGAGCATTAGCTTACCTCACATGTGGAGTCTGTGGAGACAAGCTTGGTCT